CCCCCTCCCCCAATCAAGTCCCCCTCCCTCGTCAGCCCAAAGAGCAATCAGGGTTCCCTGCCCTGTGGGAAGTCCAAGGACCACCCACCTCCATCCAGGTCTAAGTAGAAAATAGAGGACCAGAGAAATGACTCAGTACGTGAAGAGCTTGCCATACAAATTTGAGGACCTGAGTTCGAATCCCCAGAAACCTTATAAGTAGTGTATGTCTATATATAATCCCAGCTGGGAGGGTGAGATAGGAGAATTCCCAGTAGCTTGCAGGCCAGCTAGCCTGATGTTCACAGTGGTGAACAAGAGACCCTATCTCAGACAATGTGGGAAGCGAGAACCAGTGTCTGAGGTTGTCTTCTAACCTCCACACACACATTGTGGCACATATATATCTGTTCTCCTATACACACACACATACCACACACATAGAGAAATATTAAAAAAAGAAAAAGAAGCTATGTTTTAGGATTTCTCTCATTAGCTAGATGTGTAGTAGTGAATTGTAAAGGAACTGAGATTCATTGTCTTTGACTTAAGGAAAGTTAGAAAATATTTTATTTGCATCCATAAAAATATTATCCTGATAAGAGAATGAGACATGTTTGTTTATTATTCTAGGATCTACAAATGGATGAAATACTCACATAAGTTATGACTGTATGTGTGGATGAAATATGGTATATGTAGAATAACTCTGCTATCCAAGAGTGTATAATAAAATGGAATTTAAGATGATTATATAACTTCAGTTTTCCTTAATTTTAGTTTTCTAATAGAATTCTGTATTAAAATACTTTATTTATGTGAAATTTAGAAAATCAGAGATAATGTCACTTGCTCTTTGTTGATTACTGCCAAATTTTTGGTGCTTGTGAAAGAAATTTATGGAAATGAAATGAATTCATTGTATTATTGACTTAAGAGCAGTATTTTATTACTGACTTACAGTACGTCTAATTTGCGTCTTCCTGTTTTCCAGCTTGGCTCGTCCTCTTCTGTGCCTTTTACATCAATTTTCTCTCAGCTTTTTATGACGGTTGTGGTTCCTCTCATTATTGGACAGGTAAGGGCCCCAGTCTAGCTATCAATCAATCTTCCTAGACTGATTATGCTGTGAATTCCTATGTGAAGTCAGAGCAGGTTAGGGGAGAGAATGAAAAAAAGAAAACAAAGTGCGTGGTTTCAGCATTTCCATCCTTAAAGTTTTAATTAACATTAAACCATGTCACAGTTGGTTTTCTACATAAGAATCTGTGAACAGATCCCGGCTGGACCCGAGAACCTTCTTTCTTCTCAAGCAACAAGAACTCTTCTGTAGTGCTTCCTATGACTTTGTTAGATGGGTCTTCTTGGGTGTGTTTGTTAATTTGGGGGTTAGGTCATTGGGCGGCCACGGTCATGGAGGCGGGTTTAATATCAGAATGAGTGTAGTAGGCTTTGGAGAGATGGTGTGTGAGCCTGACTCAGGGCCAAGACCCATGTTTGTTTCTAGCCTTCATTTGCTGGATGACCATGTTCAAGTCATTTAGTCTTCCCAGCTCCCAGTCACAATTTACTAAATCTTATAATTACAGTACCTCTCAAAGTATGATTGTAAGGGCTAAATGAATTATTGATGGCTGTAAAATTCTTGGACACAAAGTCTGACACACGTGAATGCTACAACTTCAGTCATCGTCACCGCCATCATCATCATGATTGCTGTGCGTGCCAAACAGGAGACAGGCCTTTCAGACGCTGTCCATAAACACAGTCTCCAGACAGCTGCTCTTCAGCGGGGTTCTGAGAAAGACTGCGGAAGGGAGAGTGCCTTCCCAGGGCTCCATTGCAGAGCTCCGGGCTGCTCCACCCCAGAGCAGAGACTAGTCTTGAGACTGCCTCCCAGTCAGGCTAGCCGCACTCACTCTAGGGAAGCTGACAGACAACAGGCAGTACTGTACAGAGGACCAGAGCTTCCAGTGTGCAGACATTTTAATTTTACACTCAGAAAACAGGCCAAATTTAGCATAATTGGGGTGATTTAAAAGTAATCAAAGATTACCATTTAATAAACTACAAAATAACAGTTGGAAAACGCATCCTATTGTCGGTCACATATTTCCAATAAATAGTATATCCCCTGCCCTTGGGAGCTGTGGCCGCATTCCTTGTATTTCTGTTTGTTCCTTCTGATGGCATGTCCTCCTGCCCACGCTGCCTTCCCAGCTTGTCACTCATCTTCATGTTGTAATCCACCTCCCCTTTGAACCATGTGAGTCCCTCAGCTTCAGCACCGTAGCACCGTGTTCGATTCCTGTCATGGACCCCTGGTGGTGTCTGGAAGCAGGTTTGCCTTGTTCCCGTTACATTCCCACGCTACAGGGATCCAGTAAGCGTATGCAGAATGAACGAAAGAAAGGAAACCTCATCGGTGTGCATAGTAACTTGGAACACATAATTCTTCTCTTAATCATAAATACTTGACTTAATACCAACGGACAGAAACACACCTGCCTACATAATGTAGTTGTTAAATGTATAAAGTGCTATCTATCACTCATGTAAAGAATCTTTACCAAATAGATGAGTTAGCTTGCTCATCCTCTGTGTGCCCAATAGTAAACATTCAGTAAATTATAAAGTGGTAAAGACAGCCAAAACGTAGTTCAGAACAGCTTTTTAAAAATAAGTTTTTTCACACGGTATATTCTGATCATAGTCTCCCCTTCCTCATCTCCTCCCAGATCCTCCCCCAACAATCCACCCTCCAGCGCCAAACCCAAACAAGCCAATAAAAACAAACCGAAACAAAACAAAGCCAACAGAGAAAAGAAAGAAAAAGAAAAAAGCACCAACACAGACACACCCATAAAGACACAAAATAGGAAATTACAGTAGATAAGCAAAAGACAAGTAAGGTTTTTTTTTTTTTAAGAAAAAAAAAAGCCTAAACAAAGCATTATGAGACAATACTGACATTATGATTCTCCAAAACATACTGTCCATCTACTGCCAGGCCTGGGGTCCTTTGCAAGGGTTGCCAGCTGGAAATAGCTTCTGGGCTAAGGGTGAGCTTATGTGCACCCCCCTCCCAGCTCTGGGACCCCGTCTGGCTTTGATGTGTACAGACTCAGTGTGGGTAGCTTCTTATTGCATCCTCGTAGGCACTTAGGTGGCTTTAAGTGCCGAGGGAACCTGCGCACTTGCATCTTCCTGCCCCTCCCTATTCTGATCTTAGGAGCGGGCAGTCAGCAGCACTGTGCTGGTGGGTCAGCCTCACCTGCTCCTGTTCCTCGCATCCTTATCCCTACATCCAGGAAGTCACCCTTTCTCTCTCGTTTTTTCCCAGCTTGGCGTCTGCAAACACCATCCAGTGTGAGAGAGGGCAGCACACCTAGCCATCTTTGGCTGTCATCCCCCCTCCCGAATGTCCTCCGGTTCCCACCCTCAGTCTCTCTGCCTGCAGTAGCCATAGCAGTGAACGCTCAAGGTGCTCCTCTTTGTAAGAACTGTTCTGTGCTCCCTGGTGTCACTTCCTTGGCCCACACCAGCACAGTTTATAATTCAGAGTTTGGCTCACCCTGCTTCTGCTGTGCACCCATCTACCATGGCCTTTCTTATTGTGTATTCCACAGTCTCGTTCCTGCAGCCCCTGTCACACCCCCTGCCCTGCAGTGGCCCTGTTCTCGCTCCCACACACAGTTCCAGCTCACCCATGGCGGGCTCAGAATGCAATCACGGAGGGATGGATCGTGTATTGTAAGCTAGAGACAGAGACAAATCCTTCTTAAGGCCTTCAGTCTCCTGCCTCACATCTTTATTGGCTGGGTGTCATTCATCCTGAGTGGTGAGTCCACAAGCAGCTGCTCCCAGGTGTATTCAGTAGCCTGCTCAGTAGTATTTTTTGCTGTACCAAAAAATCGGCTTAGGGCCTAGAGAAATGGCTCAGTGGTTAAGAGTGCCGACTGCTCTTCCAGAGGACCTGAGTTCAATTTCAAGCACCCACACAGCAGCTAACAACTGTGTAACTCCCTCACACAGACATACATACATGCAGTCAAAACACTGATACGTGTAAATTAAGAAAAAAAGATTGGCAGAGAAAACTTTCAACTTACCCACACAGGCCTGGCACTCCTTTTCCTAGACTGCCATTTATCAGGGTTATATTTTTATGTCTGTATATAGTAGCTGCTAGATAACAGTGACTTCTTTCCCAGAAATCATCTGCCAAACATGTCTTGAAAACAAAATTAAGTATAGTTGCCCCTCGGGATCTTAGGGGATTGGTTCCCGTGTCATTACAGACAAAATCTAGGGGTGTTCCAGTCTGTAAAATAGCATAGTGTTTGTGCATGGCTATACATATCCTCTACAGACTATTTATAATACCTAATCAATACAGTTCAAATGTTGTATCAGTAGTTTAAGGAATAGTAAGGAAAACAAGCCTGCACAGATTCAGTCTGGAAGCAAGTTTTTTCAAATAGTTTTAATTTATGATCCCACAGGTGCAGGGGACCAACTATAAAGGCCATAACAAAAGAGAGGGGGCCCAGTATAGGAGCTCATTGTATTAGGTGAGCCCTGTACCATGGGGAGTGAGCCCTAGACCCCGATAACTATGGGGGAGATGATCACCTCTGGAGAGGGGTGTCTAGAATGGGCTCACGACCTTGGCCACCTGCTCCGTGACCGCACCTTTCAGAGTCAGCCTGTTTCACGCAGACTGCATCAAGGATGAGATGCCACACTTCCAACAAGAGCTCGTCTTAGAGCACCATAGGGAGTCACGAGGAAGTATGGTGTTTTAAGGAGGGTGTGTTTTCCCTAGTGCACAGGAAAGTGCTTGTGTGGCTGAGCGTGTCGGGGCTTCTCACTTCTCAGGCACCACCTGCTTCCCTCTCTGCTCATCCAGAAGTTCTTTCAGCTGCAAAGCCCGTGAATGGCCTTGCTGCAGCACCGCTGTTCGACCCCATTTCCCCTCTGACCCCCTCAAAACCCACAGCCTAGCACTGAAGACACACTCCTTCCCCATTTCAGTTCCTCCGCCCTCCTCTTTATAATATTTTCACAAAAGCCCAGTCCCTGTTTGCGCCTGACCTCCTAGTCTGTGTGTGCATCGGCTGCTCGGATCCCAGGACGCATCACTGTCTTCGTCCCCTGGCAGAAGTCCACAGTCTCTGTCCAGCTCCATCACACATCCCAGCAGAGCTCTGTGTTGCAGTCACATAGTTCTATTGTGCTTTAAATTCATGGCATCAACTTAAAACACCAGCTGAAACACCTGCACAACCCCACCCCATGTAAGGTGTCCTTTTCTTCCCCGATTAATTCCCCCAGCCTCTATTTTAGGTCCTGTGTACCTCTCTTACACCCCGCCCCACTCTGTCTGGCTCTTTCTCCTGCCCTCCCTTTTCCTGAGCCTTTGCCGGCTCCTTGCATTTGCCTGGAAGATCCTGCCACGTTTCACCTCCCTAGAGAGACCTTCCCTCAGCTTTCTCCGCCGGCTGCCCTGGTTGAAGTCACACTCAGGGTATCTGGTTTCAACTTCTCAATACATTTCTTTTCCTGCTTCTTTTTTTTTTTTTTTAAATATTTATTTATTTATTATGTATACAATATTTTGTCTGTGTATATGTTTACAGGCCAGAAGAGGGCGCCAGACCTCATTACAGATGGTTGTGAGCCACCATGTGGTTGCCGGGAATTGAACTCAGGACCTTTGGAAGAGCAGGCAGTGCTCTTAACCTCTGAGCCATCTCTCCAGCCCCCTTTTCCTGCTTCTTGCTTTCTGGTTTCTTTTCATTCAGCTCCCCCAAGATAGGGACCTGTCTGCCTACTTTGTCTTTTATGTTGCTCTTCGACCCACTGCTTCACCTAAATTGTGTAATGTGACCTTTGAGGACCTTGTGGGAAGAGCTCCGGCACACCGGTCCTGAGGAAACCAGCCTGGTAAAGCTTAGCTTGCCAATTGTAATGGAAAGGGGCAAATTACAAAAGTAAACATTCCTACAAGCTGTTTTATTTATCTTTTAAAACGTGATTTCTGTCATTATCTCTTAAACA